GAGCACGGGAGGTGGGGCAGGGCTGAGTGAGGACATCTTCCGCATTGAAAGGGTCGAAAGCTGCGAAAGCTGCCCTCAAGCGAACGCCGTGCAGGGCGTGCCGGGCGGCTGTTGGATGTGGCACACCGTCAGGGGTGTGGGGAGCTGCCTGCTGGGCAGGGAGGTCGGTAGGGGCAGTGTGGGCACCGCTGCAGGCACTTTGCTGAAGAGGGGGGATGTAGGTTGGCTGCTGGGGCGGGGCGCGCGGGGGGATCGGGCCGCCGGCTGGGCTACGGGGTGGAGGGGTCCAGCGTGGTGGGCCGCTGCTGCCCGGTCAGTATGAGCGCTACTGGCGCCTGGCCACTGGCGGGGCGGGAGGGCTCGAGTGTCCCCTGACGGGTTGCCCACAGGCGGGGCCGGGGAGGCGGCGGCAGGACTTGGTGCAGGGTCGTGCAACTGCAGAGCGTGCCAATCGATGCCAAGCTGGCCACACAACGCTTCAAGGACGGCATCAAATGCCGGCTGCCAACCTTGTCTGCACAGGGCACATTGCATGCGCTGCACATGAGCCGGTGTCCGATGCCCGGTGCATCGAGATCCTGGCGTCGGCATTGCCGGTGTGGCATGGCGCCCAGGTGGCCATCGACACCACGTTCGTGAGCCCGATCGGGAGGGACGGCCAGCCCAGGGGCCGCAGCGCCAGAGAAGCCGGGGGGGTGCTGGAGCAGGCGGCCCGGCGTAAGCGGGAGACAACTTACCCGGAGCTGCTTGCTGCGCGGCGGTGCCGCCTCGTTGTCTTCGGCGTCGAGGTTGGTGGCAGGTGGAACGGCGAGGCGAGGGAGTTGCTGCGCGCCCTAGCCCGTGCCAAGGCGAGGGAGCGGCCTCAGTGGCTGCGGGCCTCGGCTGTGCAGGCCTTCCACCAGCGCTGGTCCGGCATTATTGCCGTTGCGGCGCAGAGGGCGCTGGCTGCCACTCTGGCTGGCCTGCCAGGAGCGGGCCTGGACGCCCTGGATGGCACCGCGCCGCCCTGGCCCGAGGTGCTGGCGGCCGCACGCCTCGGCGAGGCTGAGGAAGCCAGCCGGCTGCCGCTGCGGGCCGGCTGATGGGCCCCGGGCCGTGGCGGCACGACGGCGGGGAAGGCTCCTCCGCCCTTGTCGCCGAAAGCGCTTCACCCTGCTTGCACGAAAAACAAAATGTCTCACCCTAGCTGTACGGAAAAAGGAGCGGAAAAAAAAAAAAAAAAAAAAAAAAAGTGGTATGCATGCCCGCACACGGGCCAACGGCATGCAGTTGCGGGTCCCGTCCAAGCGGGTCAAGGCAGGCGGGGCACATCAGTGCTCCCACTCGGGAAGGGAGGCGTTGCGGCCGTGAGGGCCTCTTGCGTGGCAACCGGCGGGGTGTCAGAACGGAGCTCTGGCCAAGAAGGAAAAATCCGGTCCGGCCGACATGGCAGCCCCCTTGGAATTGTTGACCGATTCTTTGTACTGGGCCGGTCCGCTAAGTTGACCGTTGGCTTGTCCTGGGCCGGTCCCCCCTTCCTTGTTCTTTTTTTTTTTCCGGGCGTGTTTGTTTTTCTGCCCGGCCTCCGCGGGGAGGTCTTAGTACAGGGCTGGTTTTATAGTGGCTAGCTTCCAGATATGCAAAATGGCGCCCTGGTTTTTAGGTGGTTCCAGGCTCCACCGGGCGCACCCGACCCCAAACGGAACAAAGAACGAGGGGCAGCCCACAACATCCCACAACCATCCCGTGCCCGGAAGCGCCCCAGGAGAAAGGCGAAGCCCTCTGGTGCCCAGAGGCGAGCCCCTTAGGCACACCGACAGTTGCAGCGGAAAAAGGCGCGTGGGGGAGGGAAAAAAGAAGGTAGAAGGATTGCGTCCTGCGCTTTAACATAGCATCCTGCGTCGTTATGAGGCAGGGCATCCTGCTCGGAATCTTGCTGCAGCTTGTTTGCACAAGGAGACAACCCCCCCGCCGTTATACATTTGGAGTTTGTCACCGGGGTAGGAATATGCCTGGTGCTGGGGAAATCGGCCATGCAAAATAAAGGCGCGCTTTATGCCGTGCTCAAACCACGCCGCTGCACCCAGGTACCTGACTAACAAAAAAAAAACTAACACTGCCTATCAAATATCCGAAGACTAGATTTAGTTGCGGGTGTTCACGAGGCGCGGGAGAGCATCTTGCGCAAAAAGCAGGGCTTCCTACACAATATGTAGGGCATCGCGCGGCGCAAAGCAGGGAGCCCGGCAACGCGTGACAGTATGCGAAAGAAGCAAGCAAGTGTAGGTGAGTGCCTTGCTCGATGTTTTCGCGCTGCTGGAGATGTTCGTGCGTCTTTGCGTGGTGCCTGGGAGTCCTGGCTCGGATCTTAGATGTTGCAGTAAAGTGTGAAGGAGCTGCTTAAGATGTTGCTGCGTCTAGTCAGGATGTTGGGGTGAGATGTCTTAGTGACTTTTTAGATGTTGGGGCGTCTCTTAGAATGTTGGGGCGTGGTCCCCCGACGAAGTGCTTGCGGTTGGGCATCGGTCACCCACCCGCTTGAGCGCCATCCATTTTCGGGGCTAGTCCATTCGGCAGGTGAGTTGTTACACATTCCTAAGCGGGTTTTTGGCTTCCATGTATCTAATGACGGCACCTAAAGTTAACTTCATCTTGTATTGCCAGTTCTGCTTACCAAAAATTGCCATTTAGAGCTGGCATTTATCCCAGAAGTTCAACGAAGCAACCACTGTGGATCTTGCCCATTTAAAGTTTGAGCATCGGCCGAAGACAACGCATCCCTGATTCCTCTAACAGCATCCCAGCAGTCACCTTCATTACGCTCACTGGCTTGTCGCCCGCGACCTTGCACGTGTGCTGGACTCCTCAGTCCGCGTTTCAAGACGGGTCGAAGGAAACCATTTAATCAGCAAGACACGCCCGCCTGAATCCCCAGAGGCGCCAAAGCAATTCCGCAGAATCGCGTGCGACAAGGGCCATCCTCAAGCAAGCGTCGCAGCTGACGAGCAAGCTGAGAAACACCGCAAGCATTCCTTCACGTATGTGCGCAAAGCTTACGCATCCACGCACAAGGCTAGTGAAAACTCACAGCCGTCTCAGCCAGGGTCTTGGTGCCATATTCGCTTCCCTTTAAGCGATTTCGAGCGCTTTCAACTCTCCTTCCAAAGTCCTTTGCGGGCGGCGACTCACTCGCTGATCGCCCGTTGGATTTTCAACGCACGCGGCCACGTCAGCTTTCGCAGTCCGCCTTCGCACTTGCCTTGAGCGACCTCGCAGACTCTGAGGCCGCGCCGCCCGCCAGCCGCGTGGCTTGAGTGCAGTGGCTAGCAGCGGCGCCAAGCCCAGTGCTCGGGACCCCCATCCACCAGGTTTTTGTGTGAGAGACTTGGTGTGCAGCGGAAACGAAGGAAAAGCATGGAAACAACAAGGAGGCAACACTGGGCTTGGAATGGAACCCGCCATCACAGGCCGAAGCCCATGGATCATGGCATAAGCGCAACAACAGTGGTTGTCGCGATGCTACTGCAATAAAGGCAAAGAATACACTATAACCACAAAGTGCAGGACAGTGTTTCGCAGCTGGGCGGGCAACAGCGTGCGCAAGGTGCATTGGCCCGGGAACAAGAATCATTATGCACACGGTCGGTTGGGCAAAAAGAGATGCGTCTAGCAACCTAACTTGATGTCTAGCTTGGAACATGCTCAAATGTTCCCTGGGAGCCGACCGGCGCACCAGGACAACTGGCCCGCGCTCGGCTGGCAAGAGGCAGCGTCGCCGCACCGCACCCATCCCAAGCCATGCATTCCAAATCCCAGCAATGTTTTATCTCAGATGATGAATCGTAGCTTCGGGGGGAACTCGCAAGAATCCACGAAGCCACTTGTGTGATACATGGTGTGCCACGAAGCCCCGCGGCAACATTGGAAGCGACTTTGCGACGCCCTTGTTGGGTTTTGTTCGCCAACCACAATCCACCCGTAAGCCTGAACTTGCTGGCGACCTCGTTAGTAACGAAGGCAGGTCGCCAGGTGTTCGGCCGCAATATGGTTGGAAAGAGCGTCAAACATAAAAACAGCGCCTCTCGAGACTTGCCTGCACATCTCCAGGTCATGGGGCAAGGGGCAGACACAAGCCCGCAACGTCAAGCGGGGCCGCGACGCGGAGACTCTAGGGTTAGCTCTGGAAGAGTCGGCTGAGCAAAGTCCAGCATCTTCAGTGCGAATCCTGAATTTCGTTTGGCTACTAGTTCCAGTACGGGCCTCGAAAGCCGATAGGTCGGGGACACACGTTATGTACACTTGGGCGCGCCGATAACCACTCTCGCCACCCACGCCGCTTCTTGTTGCTTCATTTTTTGGGTCCGGGGTCCACTTTTTGGAGCGAGCACCAGCACAGAGCCAGTGTGGAGCAAATGCTTTTAAGCGAAGGCGCACAGTGTAGCACTGACAAGGGTGCTCAAGACAGACATCTTGTCCTTTCGCCGTGCTGACCGGGAGCGCTTGAGCGTGCTTCGACTGCACCGCTGGATCAAGAGGCTTCAGGCACTCAAGCCTGATGGGCCAGTGGAATGGCTCAGCTTGGAAGTTAGGCGCCGCGCCCCTGGTCCACAAAGACTCTTGCTGCAACCGAGGGCATGGAGGAAGCTAGGTTTGGTGGCAGGCATTCAGGGTAGCCTCCGTGGACTCCGTTGGTTGTGCGCACAGGGAAGGCATTTGCGATCACTCGTATCCCAACTGCTGATTTGGCTGGTCGGGCGCGCTGACTGCATCGCCTTCGCGCGTGTGCCATGCACAAATCAAAAGTTGGTTTCGCTCTTGCACAACTCGAGCTCTTCGCTCTCAGAGCAGCATTTTAGTTGAGAGTGGCTTCGGTCGCCCCGGTGGTCTTGCCAAAGGCGGCTCAATGATACAATGGTCATGTGGTTTCCAAAGGCGGCTCAATGGTACGACGGCCATGTGGTCTTTGGCAACTCTGCATCACGTTGCGGGCATCGTATAAGCTGCTCGAACCCAATCTTTTTCTCCTGACTAGGTCTATGGCTTGCAAGCTGGAGCCGTGCGACAATCTGGAGGCAAGCAACACCGTGGGTGCCCCCACTTTGGGCCAAGCCTCCATATTGCCAGCTGTCACATACAGCTCGGTGTGCCATTTTGGGCTCAATCTGGCAGATTCACATCATCGGTGTCCTGCTAGCATTGAAGGCAAATCCATCAATCCCATGATCAACCGAGCCATATCTGCATCGCAAACAAATCAGCCGAAGCTAGGCAAACGCCACATGCATGAGAACCCCGTCCGCATTTTGCAGCACATCTGTGAAGAGCTGGTTCATCCGTTGGACGACGAGGCTCAAGTCCTATCCGAGGAACTTGAAAGCTTTCCATAGCGATCTCCCGCATCTCGCAGCCGTTCGGTCCCCGAGCTGAGCCGAGAGGCGGCCCCAGGCGCGGTCGAAGTCGTCCGCCGGCACCTGACATCGGATGTGAAGAAGAAAACAAAAAGAATACAAAAAAAAATGAACAAAAAACAATATTGCTCAAACATACGTGAACAAAAAACACTTGAAAATAATTAAAACAGAAAAACACACGCACACACACACACACACACACACACACACACACACACACACACACACACACACACACACACACACACACACACACACTTGCAACGCAAATGTCCCGAAGGCTTCACTTGAAACACTCTCTCTTAGGTCCCTGCCCCGATGCTCACCAGGCCTTCTCTGAGCTTGTCCTGCAGCCAAATCCGCCCGAACCCACGAGGGAAACGAAGCCAACGTGCTCAAAGCGCTCAAAGCGGTCAAAGCGGTCCAGCTTCTTCCGGGGATCCACTGGAACTTCGTCATCTAGGCGCTTGGGTGCGTTCTCTGCACGCAGGTCCGCACCTGGATCGCTTCTCGTCCGACCCGGGTTTAGGACGAAGGTCTGCACCTCCAAGGAACTTCTTGTCCTTGGTCACATCCGTGCAGTGACCTGTCCAAACTGGAACAACATGGAAAAAAGAGAAACGTGAACGGATGCTGATCCACACGCTCGGCCCGATCGGCCCGCCTGTTTGACAGCCTGGGATCTTCATGAACTCATCCCAGTCGTACGCCTGGCATTCCATTAAACTAGCCTGCAAGACCCAAGACCTGCAGCGGCACGCCTGCCTTTTTGTCTGGGCAGCATGCCCAGTATTTGGCAGTTTCGTGGAAAACAGGCGGTAACCTGTGGTGGACGCACCTGATCGCGCGTAAAGACCCAACATGAATTGAGAGCTTGATCCAAGATTTGCACGTTGTCTGATCTGCACATCTAGGGTCAAAGTACCTCATGCGACATGAAGTCACTTCAAGTCTATGCAGTCAGATCGCTTCCAAGGCTGGGGCTTGTTGCACCCAAAGTTCTTGCAGCGGACGTGCTCCGGCGGTCTCGGCACCACGTCCCCTGGGCACATCTTCTTCTGATGGCTGCGCCGGATGCGCCGTGACGCGTGAGGCTGCGGCCCGTGGCCATGGCGATGCCGGCGCCACGAGTCTCTCAACAGAAATTTCCGGATCCGGAAGGCGAGGGGCACGCGGGGCATCAGGGGCATAAGACTAGACACCTAGGAGGACTCGGGACTTGATTGACTGAAAGTTCCACCCGAACCTGTTGTGAGCACGGACGGTGGAAAGCTTTGGGGAACACCACATGAAGGCCTCTGAAGATGCTTTGCTCAACTCGCTCCAGCTTGAGGGTAATGATAAACGAAATGCAAGGAAGGCAACTCCAGCTCCAATTCCTTGATCCGATGATCGATACCTAGCACAAATCCTGCTGTGATGCAAACCCTGCTATCCCCGCTGTTTCTGCCATGGGCGGCGATTGCTGAAGAGCAACGCATATCGAATAGCTAGAGGAAGATCTACTGCTCAGAGTCCGCGCATCGCAATGGCAGCGTAGCGCTGTCCACGGCTGTCCACGTGTCCATATGCTCAGTAGAGCGGCTTGATGGGAGTCTCCGCCCAGTAGGGCTTTGTCCTTGCCTGCAACGATGCACCCGCACGCAAGCTTTGAGCTACATCCCTCGCCTGCACTGCCACCATGCCTTTAATGGCCTCTTCTCCTGCAAATGCCCAACGAGCGGCAACAAGCTGGTGCTCAGTGTGTAGAGCACTGGACAAGAAAAAGTTGACCACTCCTATGCGGATGTCGGCCAGCTCTCCGCCTGTGTACTCCAGCCTTGGAGAAATCTTCTCAGAACGGGCCTTGTACTGAAGCGAGCCCCGGGCAGCTTCTGCGTCAGCGGCTGCAAGCTCACATTCTGCGCCAGGCGCTTTGCTCGGCCAGCAGCGGTGGGTGCACAAAGCCTCAGAGCTCGCCCGAGTCAGCGCAACCCCTCTCACACCACACACACACACACACACACACACACACACACACACACACACACACACGCACGCCGGGCATGCGGCGTCACCTTTTCGCAGATCTCCTTCATGTAGTCGGAGAAGTCAGACTCCTCCTCCACCACCTGAGCGACGGAACCTGCACTGCGGCTCTTCAGCTCAGCTTGTTTGAGCTCGCAGCATCGGAGACAAGGCCCATCCTCGGCGACATTTTGTTGGCCCCAAGGGCAACAGCGCCTCCATGAGCCTCTTTGCCTGCTCTGCCGAGATGTTCTCGGCCTCGATCTCTCGGTATGACCAAGCCATTCCAATTCGAATTGTAGATAAAGAAGAAGGTAGGTCAGAGCAGCAGGTAATCATGATCTACTTATGATCCTGAACTGAAACACGCGTGCTGTTGCGCTGAAGAGAAACCGACTTACTGATCTGGCTTTGCCTAAATCTAAGCATCGCTCCATGCACAACAGCCGCTTGGCAAATGCAGGCCCGACCTGCGCTGAGCAAAGGCGTAAGCCCTGCTGGACATGCCTTGAAGTGGTGGCACCTTCCTCGTGAGCGAGGGCGCAAGCGCGGCAGGGCAGAATCCCAGCTTCACCTGGGCAAAAGGTGCAGCTAAGCCCGGCGAGTCAAAAAGCAAAAAAAACAATAGGAAGCCCTTGCCTCTGAGCAGGTGAAGCGAGCGCGGCTGGCTGCCAGGACCATATCGCCTGGACCAAACCCGAGACCCGAAACGGCTAGGGGCTCGGCACTCGGCACGGCTCACTGGGCGCTGGGCACACGCACAGCAACGCGATGCCGCTGCCCATGGCGGAGCCCTGGCAAGCGAATATGGAACACCTAATATACCAAATGACCATCCCCGCTGACCCAAGAAAAGGGATCTTTTGATGGGAACCCTGGGACATATGGGAACACATGGTAGTGGGAACACATGGTAATGGGAACACACGGTAACGCACGTGCCTGCGCAAGGCCAACGGTGAACTGCGGCAGACTCTGAAACCAGAAAAGGAACTTCATGAAGCCGATGACCGCCTCGGCATCAGCCGGCAACGAAACATGACGCGGCTCTCGCTCGCCTTGCGGTCGTCCCGCTCTGTCATGGCTAGGGCATCGAAGAAATGCTTGGGATCGCCGCCAGACTCGGCGCGGCAGTGGGGCAGTGGGGCGCATGTGCTTTTATGGAAATCCACGTGTGCAACGGCCACACTGAGACTTCCTGCACAGAACATGCTGCCCTCTGCGCGTAGAACAACGATCCGGATGTCCCGACCTCGTCACAGAACTTCAAACCCATCGAGATGCATCCCGATGCATCGAGGAATTGAGGCCGCAGCGTCCGTGCAGCTCGCAGGTGGCATCCATCAGCGCTTGGGAGATGGACTCGTTCAGCGCATTGTTAGCATCTGGCCTGGCGGGCTATTGGCGCTGTCAACCAGAAAACCAACCATAAAACAGACTTCACGAGAGCAATCTGCAGGAAAAGCAGCTGCCTATTCAGGGTCAGGTATGCAATGCCCTCTCCAATCTCAAAGAGCACATCCTTGTGGTGCCAATTCTCTGACCTGATGCTTCACATCAGGATGTCAGCACGTACAACTCGACTCGAACCAAAGGCTCAAAGGCTGAGGATACAACGTGCACGTAGGCTTCACATGCGGCACAGCAAAGGTGTCCCAGGAAGACTTGTCCACGACCTTGACAGTGGGAACGTACCTGCGCGGGGCATGAGTTCAGCCTCCCAAAGCTGTTGTTTACGCCTGTATCCAGACAGGTGCTCCCCCTGCAGCACGGCCCCCTCCTGAAACATTGTGGGCATTGAGTGCATGTTCTTCATGTCCACCTGTTGAACTCCGCTCCTTCTCCAGCAACTCAGCTTCCTTTGCTGCCAGCTCACGCTCGATGCTCTCCCAGTCCTGAAAAATATGGAGCGGCAAGCCGTAAGACCTCGAGCACCCCGCCTTCCCCATGGCGATCACACCGAATGGTTCGATCCGGTTCGATCCGTCTTGTCTGGCTCGGGTGCTCAATCTGGAATGTGCCAGATGCTCAGATCTGGCTAGTGCCCTCAGAGTTTGATCTGAACCAAAATGCACAGCAGCCAGCGTCAAAATTGCTTGTCTGGGGGCTTTGTTTTGGACGCCCAGCATCGTTTGTCGAGACAAACAAAAAACAACTACAAACTGCTCCTTTTTGCTGTCAAAATTGCAAAACAGATCAAGAGGATCGGCATGCCACGCAACCCTCTTCCCTGTGTGCTGCATGTCTTGAAGCCAAGCTGGCTGGGCCAGCTGGGCCAGCTTTGATTGAAGGGAACAGCCGTCGGTCTGAGTCAAGACTTCAGGCGGTCGAAAGCCAAAGAATTCACACCTCAAAAGCTGCACACTGTGCGAGCTTCTGGGATAGAGAGAATGGGTACGACGTGCACAATACGCGAGCCGTTCATGCCAAAACATGTATCTATTCAGTTTCAGCTCAGCGCATCTTGTGCACGCCTTCAGATAAAAAGTACGATATACCCTCCCATCCAAAAAACTCGCTTAGCCGGAACCCTGCAACGAGCTGGTGGGAGGTATGGCGGCAACAGCCCACTTATTTATTTGGAGTGAACTGCGGGCTTCTTGCAAACCCCACATTTCAGCCACTGTCAATGCTCGTTGTGCCATGCCCAGGCGAGCAGGCCTTTGCCACATTAAAACCGAAAGTCCTACTGTGACCCAGGTGTATCTGCTTCACATCCACCAAACGCTTCATAATCTCTTAGTTGGCGCAGGCCCGAGCACAGGTATGCTTGGCTCTCTAAGCTACACCGTAAGTGCAGGAAAAGCTGAGCATGCCAAGTGATTTGTTGGATGCTTTGTATACAATGCATGACCCCCTTTGCAATGCAGGCCACAGGATCAGCATTACTTAATACGACGTTCGGGTAACAACGCTTTGCACCGCCTCACAGCGATACCACAGCATTGCTGTGCCTTTCGCGGAGATTCCGATGAGGCAAGGCTTAGTGAAGGGAACGGCCGGCTCACGCTTCTCACTCTGCGGCTGTGGCGGCTGCATTTCCATGCGTAGATTTGAGATGTACAACTCGAAATCCTCGGAGTGCTGCTCCACAATCGCCAGGAAGCGCCGCAGCTTCTCACAGTGCGTCGGCTTGTGAGAGAGAGAGCGCTGCTGGAAGAAGGAACCGCTCGGACAGGGCTGCCCTAGGGACCGCTCGGATAGACCCGTCCTGGCTGCCCTCCTTCAGGCATTTCCACACGCTTTTAGGAAGCATGGCAAACCCAGTGACTCCTGGTGACTTCTGGCGTGGCTGGAGCCAACCCGGCATTTCACAGGGACAACTTGTGGCAGTTCATGCGCAAGCACGCATTCTCTGGCACGAGCACGACCATCAAATCATGACAATCGCTCCAAGTGCAATTTGGATGCCGACGCCCCACTTCAGGAGTCAAGCGCCACCACCGAAGCTGGGTTGAATTCTCTCATCGCCAAGGCTGCATGCATGACATCTGACACTCACACTACCAGTCAGCCTACACTGCCAACTGGCACATCTCATCCGCCTGGCGCGTGAGACAGAACGAAGGAAAAAGACAAACGCAAACAAACTCCTGCACATGTCCACTGGTGCACAGCTCATTATTTCTCGTATGCCTGTAGCTCAGTGGCGACCCAAAGTTGCCGAGATATCTAGATATGAAATTGGAATGTCGTGCGGCTCGTGCACCGCTCCAAGCATGCGCATGCCGGCAGCAACAACAACCCTTGCCGACTCACCCAATGACTTAACAGCCTTGGGACAACTACAATCAAAGGTCAAAGTCCACAAACCTCTTGGCTGATTTGAAAAACATGAACATCTGGACTTGTAAGTGTTGGGTGAAGCGCGGGCTTCTTGCCAATCCCACATTGGAGCCACTGTCAAAGTTCCTTTTGCCGCCATCCGAAATGGGATAGTGATTCCCCAATGTCGTTCCTCTACTGACACGGGCTGTGTGCGAATGGGGCACCCGGAAAGGAATTCAGACACTTCTGCGCAGCATCGGCGCTACTCATGCCTTGGCTAACACCTCAACCTCTACAACCAGTTGGCTGAGTTTCACAAAGGGTCAAGATTTAGTTTGGTTCTTTTTGTTTTATTTTGGGATTTTGTTGTTTTCCGTCTTGGCTAGTAAAATGCTGTATTTTACAGCAATATTTCTCACGAAATGTACGTATTTTAGACTAGCCCGTCAAAATCATCAGCATCGTTTTCAACATCCCCCGCATGTCCAGCCAACATCCCCAGCATCACCAGCAAACCGAGATGCTTCCTACATCCTCAGCATCAGTTCCTCTCCGGCAAGGTAGGGGTCCCCCGGATGATGGTAAAAGTGAGGATTCAAATACGGGTGCAAAACACCTTAAAAGTAGCGGGGGGTTGGGGGGGCAGCCCCCCCCAATGATGATCGAAAAAGTGATGATTCAATTAGGAGGCAAAAAATCTAAAAAGTAGCGGGGGGGTTGGGGGGCGGCAGCCCCCCCATGATGATCAACAAAGTGATGATTCAATTAGGGGCAAAAAATCTAAAAAGTAGTGGGGGGGTTGGGGGGGGGGCGGCAGCCCCCCCATGATGATCGACAAAGTGATTCAATTCGGGGCAAGAGGGGGCGGCAGCCCCCGCCATGATGATCGAAAAAGTGATGATTCAATAGTGGGGTTGGCGGGGGTGGCTTCCCCTGAGGGTCGATCAAGTGCATACATACAGACATACATAGATTACATCGATTACGTAAAAGGTCGTATTGTTCAGCATTTTCTCGCGAAATTGGATTCAAATAGGGGTGCAATTAAATCTCTGCAAGAAATCTAAAAAGTAGCGGGGTGGTTGCCGCATGATCATCAAAAAGTAATTATTCAATTAGGGCAAACAATCTAAAAAGGGGGGGGGGGTGTTGGGGGGCTGCCGCATGGATTAGGGGTGCATTCTAATCCAAGGGGGCACTCTGGCGATGCTGAGGGTGCAGGAAGGCAAGGCCAAAAACTGGGAAAGCAGAGGATGCGAAAAGCCAAAGCCGCAAAAGCCGCAAAAGCCAAGCAGAGAGGATCTGTGAATGCAGAGGATGCGAAATGAAAAGCCACAAAAGCCACATAAACCCACGAAAAAGCCACAAAAGCCAAGAGGCTACCCCTGAAAAACAAAAAAACTAAAACATTTTTTTTAATTTTTTTTTTTAAAGGACAAATTCCTAAAATAAATGGCCCTCCTTTCACAAAACAAAACAGGCCGTTGGTGCCTATTTGCTATCCGCAGCACGCCTGAACGCCTGAACCTCTCACCCATCTGTTCTGCGCTACCAATACCCTCGATATAGCTCCTGTTTTGTTGTCAAAACTGCAAAACAAATCACGAGAATCGGCATGCCACGCAACCCTCTTCCCTGTGTGTTGCATGTCTTGAAGCCAAGCTGGCTCGGCCAGCTGGGCCAGCTTTGATTGAAGGGAACAGCCGTCAGTCTGAGTCGAGACTTCAGGCGGTCGAAAGCCAAAGAATTCACACCTCAAAAGCTGCACACTGTGCGAGCTTCTGGGATAGAGAGAAATGGTACGCCGTGCACAATGCGCGAGCTGTTCATGCCAAAACATGTACCACCAGTCAGCCTACACTGCCATCTGGCACATCTCGTCCGCCTGGCACATGATTCTGAAGCTCAGCTCGTCCACCTTTCTCACCTTGCGCCCCCTTGACCTTTGATCTCCAGTCTCTGACCATGCTCTCAGCAGGAACAGCAGCAAACGTGAAGGGAGAACCCAGCCGCCAGCTCCGCGGCCAGCTTGCGACCAATGCCTCACACAAGAACAACTTCCGAACTTGGATTAAAGTACCAAGCCTCCCCAACTTTTCCCGTACAGCCGGAGAGCGCAGGCCGTTGCACCAGGCCGCATCGTCGTCCAGAAACCAATGCACAAGCGCAATGATTGTAGGGCCGGTACCCCCTACGAACGGGGACATGTAGTCCAGCCCGCCATGAACCAGAAGCCAACCTTCCCAGGAGCCTGCAAAGCAAGGAAAGCAGCCGACAAACGGCAAAAAGAAGAAGCATTCGCCCCATCACAAAGCCGTGCATCAAGCAGTTTCATTCCATGTTTGAAAGGCCCAAGCCAAATCCAGCGACTGAAATGTCGCATCACTTGCACTTGCCCTGCCTGTAGCTTTCTTTTCAACATGATGAGCAAATCGCACCTTGCTCACTTGCAAGGCAGCGGCCGCGTACGAGGAGTCCAATAGAATCAGCAGCGGCAGCCAGAGCATCCACCAGGAAGTCAGCAGCAAGGTCGCCACCAGGAAAAGCAAAACCAACAGGCCATGCGCCAGCAAGGTGGCAGTGAGGAAGCGCAGAGCGCTGGTCAAACGCTCGTAGATGAAGTCGGGCGTGAGGTCGAATCTGGCCAAGACCTCACTTTCTGATCTCTAGAGCCGCACAAAAGCGGCTAAATGTCTGTCCTGCCATCTTGTGCTGATGCATCCTTGCGCTGGTAAAAAGGCATTGGCTGGATGCAAATCAGATTGTACATTCTCTCGGAGCATCAAGTGGTGAGGATGCGTGGCTGTTTTTGACAGTGCAAAGTGTCTGTTTTGCTTGATGCAGGCGCGTGCCGACGCTCAGTTGCTTTGATTTTCCGGCTTCTGTCCAACGGATTTCTGGAAAAGCTCCACCCAATGGGCTCGTTTCTTATGAAAGCGATGAAAGCGATGAGCGAGGCTTGTGAAGATGCGATGCGTTTCTCTCCAGTTCGCAATCGCATCGCTCCCTGGCCTTCTCGAAGCCGCCCAGGAAATGGAGGACATCTGATCGAAGCTCCCACCAAGCGATTCGCCCCATCGTTGCCAGCAGCAAAGAGAGGCCAAGGCAAAGCATTGCCAACCCCAGGTTTCAAGTTGCATTTCTTTCGGTTGGGCTACAACCTGCGAGTGTTAAGGTGAGTGCTTGGGAACCTGACAAAGAAACTCGTGTCGAGCACGCTTCTACCCTCTCTTTGGAACCGGCACAAGCTGCGCAAGCGGCACATGCTTTAACCCTCCGGCCCCAAATTGCGTAGTCAAGCCCAATCTGGATTTACAAGAAGAAAGTTGCACGAAACAAGGTTGTATTATGCCGAGATGTGCTTCGTGTCGAGTGTGTTGCGTGTGTGCTGTCGCGCGCACGTGGTGTTTGTGTGGGGAACGTTGCGTGGTGTTGGTGGTGGGGCGCCGCGTCCTGTCGCGCAAGGGCTGGCCACAGCGTTTTGCCTTCGCTCTTGCCGCTCTGCGCTTTTCGCATTATTTTCTCGGCTTCTGTGTTTTTGTTTTTTGTTCTTTGCGCGTGCGACTCTGTTGCTTGCGCTTGGAGCATGAGGCTCGGTGTGTTGCGCTGCCCTGCGCTGCTCGGCGCAGCTTTGTGTCATTGTGCACGGCGCTGCGCTCTGTTTGGCGATGTTGGGCTTTTGGTGTCCTAGGTCCTAGGAGAAGGTCATGGCTTTTTGTTTTCGCCGTCAGTCACAAACTGAGCACAGGCAGCTTCGTCCGACCCTTTTGCCATTGAACATCGTCACCCCTTTGGACGGATTCTGGACCACCTTTGTTGTCATTCTCAATGTGCTCAAACCTGATGGGTTGCCTTCCCTTGTTGTCGTCGCTCACTCATCAATGTCCCAATTTGTCCAAACAGGACCATGACAAATGAGCTTGTGGAACTGTGGAACCTATTCGGCCCCCAACAAAACTGAGTCTTAAGTCGCTGGGTTCAGCTGGAGGCGCTTTGGCGCATCCAAGCAAATCAAGCCTTGTCAAAGTCAGCATGAAGCATGATGACCACTTGGTCTCAGTCACTGCGTGTTCACAGCACTTGTCAAAACACTCGATGTCCAAGCCACTCCCAACGTGCAAATGTCTGTCATGCGTGAACAAATTCAGAGTCTCTATGCACGGCGAACAGAAACATGAAACTGTGTGCGATATTGTATAATGTTCTGTCGTGTTCTTCCAAGTCTACAGACATTTCCGGCCTTTCATGATCACAAAGTGCTGATTCTGCCCGCGAGACCAAATCTGCACGGGCTGCCAATCTATGGCGCTACCATCCTTGACATCCACATAGAAGTTTGAATGGTCCTTCCACTGCAACCTGGATTGGTCAGATCGGTCGGATTGCAGAACCTGGTCCTCGTCATCGTAGCCACAGCTCCAGAGTTGAAGTGGGGTTCCATCTTGGAACAGGTGATCCCTGACGTCGAGGCACAGGCTCGGATCTTGCGCGAGCGCCAGCTTCCAGCTGGTTTGGGCACGACAGGTGCTGTCCGTGCAGCGGATGTCTGTCTTTTGCCATTTGGTGTTCATCCCGTCGCAAGGCCGGAGCTGCACGACCCCTCCGTTCCAGACTTGGTTTGGATCCACCCCCATGCACCTGCTGCCAAATCTCACCTCAAGCATGGGAGCCAAATTCTGCTTGCCCTGAAGCGCCGTCAGGCTGACAGACTCCGAAGTGCCACGGCAAAGGAATGCCACAAGGGCCATCGCAACAAGCCCAAAGACCACGAAACAAGTCCTCAACGTGGGCGCGCGCTTCGGCAAATCCTCTGACATGAGGGGGCCCTCCTCGACATCTTCTGCCATACGGGAGCTCAAGCGAAACAGACTGAGCCGGAGCTGCTTGTTGCTTGGTTTAGTGCGTCACTGTATTGGATTATGGCAACTCGGTCGGTACTATGTCACTGCCACTTTGGGCCTTCAGCAGCTCCTGGAGACTCCGCCGCTCCTGGCTGAGTGCCGAGACTCGAATTCGGATCACGGAAATTTGCGGACTGTCCTTGGGCTGGCCAAGGCTGGCAGTCTTCGTTGTGCGCTTAAACGGCGCCTGGCACGCTGGCAGTTGCAACGCGACGCGCCGAGTGCTCGCCCTTGAGTTGCCACGCGCCTCGTGGGCACGGAAGAGGCCGGTGCCCTCACCGGGCAGCTCGAGCTTGTTCTGAACCTGCCATGAAGGTAAACAAAAAGAGCAAATAAGAGCTTCGGCTGAACAAGCCAGGCCAGCTGCTTTCCAGGAGTTCCTCCGCTCGGGCGTGGCATTCCGCTTGGCCTCCTGCGCCTTCTGCTCAAACAAATCCTTAGAAAGCACAAGCCCCCTGCGCCTGCGCCCCCTTCGCCCGTCTCTGCTCTCTGCCTTGAGTTCATTCGCAGTGCCGGCTGAGGTGTTGGAGATCTCACCCCTGCGCTTGTCTGGTGGCCTCCAAGCGCCCGACTTGCCGCATTGCAACCATTGCAACCATTGCAACGTTTCAGCCGACATCTCTCGACGCCGAGGCCACGCCGAGGCCCCCTGCGCTGAGTGTCGGTATGGCCGTGGCTTTGCACCTCGCACGGCCAACATCGACGAACATGCAGGCTTTGCCCCGCGCCTTCGTCAGCCTTCCGCTCAAAGCGGTCCTGCATCGCTCAAAGCGGTCAGTCGGAATAGAACCGAGCGATGCCAGGCATGGCCCCACTGCACCCGTTGCACCCCATCCTTGAGTTGCGAGGTGCCAGCTGACATCGCCGAGACTTGCGGCCTCAAGGTCGCCGCGACCGCACTTCCGACGGAACCCTTGGTGATAGCCAGGAGAAACCACTGATAGCCAGTGAAAGCAATGTCTCGGCAATCCACTGGTCGAAGAGGCCGGGCGCTCCTCTGCTGACCCAAACATTTAAGGCTTTGGCACGCAATGCGAATTGCTCGCGCCTCTCTTCTCAGGCTCCTTCTCCGCCTTCTCGGCCTTCTGGGAGCGAGAACACCGAATCGACTTGAGCCAACCCATGCCTCGCTGGACGCTTCGCTTGGAGCCTGACATGCTCGCAGCAGCCACGGCCAAGTGAGCTGCACGCCTGCCTGAAACAGCGCTGGTGTCGGGGCCTCAGCCTTTGCGAGAAGGCACTAGAAGGCACGATCGCACCAATCGCACTGGAAAATTGGGGGGGGGGGGGGCAATCCTTTGGCACTCAAGGTTCGAAGCACAGCAATATGAAGCTCCCAGAACCACGCCCAGCGACCGACCCAGGCGGCGCGACACTCCGCTCCTTTGCTTCTTGACGTGCAAACGGTCTGGGCCTCAGCGAGAAGCCGTGGGTCTCTCCAAGCTTAATCAACAATGAGGCACCCGCGCCAGCTGCGAGGGCTTGGACTGCACGTTGCCTCTAGATGGAAGGCTGCTGGCAGGTGCCTGAAATTTGGATGGTTGGCAAGCAAGGTGCGCCACATGCCACGCACAGGCCACATGCCGCACACAAATACAAACAAAGACCAACCAGAGTTCGCTCAGCGGCCTCGGGAGCCTCGAAGCATGTTCAGTGATCATCGATTCATCTAAATCTAACATGCCTGGAAGAGCGCGCAGGGTGCCCGCGAAGGCGTGGGCGTCTCCGCTGCCTGTGCGCACCCAAAGCAAAGGGTCCTCTCGCTACACGTTTTGCCTGACGTTCCCAAGACCCGCACCACCCCTCTTTCTGGGAAAGTTGGAAGGTCCAGGGCTTGCTCGCGCCGCTGCACCGCCTCCTCCCTGGCCTCACAAACCCAACGCTCTTCCCGCACTCCCTCCCCTCGCGCCACGTGTCTCGCCTTGAGCTCCCGCTCCCGGCGGTCCAGCTCCGCGCTGCGCGCCGCCACCTCCGCCTGGCCGGGGAACAACTCAAGACACCTCAAGCTCGACCTCCTCGCGGCTCTCGTCCGCACATTCGCCTGCCTCAATGATGGCCCTCAGCTGCTGCGCCAGCCCATCCACCTCCATGGCCTGCCAAATCCAACTCGAGCCCCGAGGAAGGACATTGGCCCAGCCTCTAACTTCTCCCACGCCGATTCAGACGCCGCTTGCCCAAACAGCCTGCCCTTCGAGCCCTGCAGCGCCAAGCTCCAACTGTGGCAGGTCTGACAAGATCTGGACGCCTTCTTAGAAGAGGCGTTGCCTCTTGGAAGGTTCCTAGCAGGCAAAGACCTTGGAAATGCTTGCGAACAGCCCCTTCTGAGAAGGCTGTGCAAAATCCTCTGAGTGGGGGCGAGTTTCTGCGAAGGCGATTGGCCTTCTGAGAGCCTGTCCGAACAGCCCTGCGAGGACTCCACCAGTGAGCTGCCATGAGCTGCCATTTTATGCCCTGTGTGAAGCATCTCTGTCCGGGCCCCAAGGCGGCAAGTCTTGGCGGTGACTGGGAAATGCTGGAAACCAAACCAACAAACTGTCCTATCACGCGGCAACCTTTGGCAAGCCTACAAGAACCCAAGGATATTGAAATAGACACCGGTGTCACCGGCAAGCTGACCTTGGGGCACCGCAAGCATGCCGCATTGTGCCTGCCAACTACTCCGGATCGGGGAATGTATGCCATGCCCAGTCAAGCTTCACGACGGTGCTCAAAGTCGAGGTCGCAAACGCTTTCATCTCGTTCTCGGACAGCATGCCAGGCCGTTCATATTCAAGGCTACGAACGCCTAAGGTGCGCAAGGCGCCGTAGTCACAGAGCTTACCAGCAGTTACATCGTAGCAGGTTAGAAGTCGGAAATCACCTATCCTCTGGGTTTGCTTTTACCCAAAATCAGATTCATCACCCAGATCTGCAGAAATTACAAAAGCTCCCTGTTGACTTCACGGCTGGCAGGGCCAGCCAGAACCCAGCTCAGCCCAAGTGCGCGGATACCTGCTGATGGCTTTGAGGGAACACCCAAATGCCCTCAGGAGGCTGCAGGCCGCGAAACCTATCCAAACAACCAACTGCACTCCCACTAAAGCGCAGTGTAAAGGGACTCTGCTCGATCGACCAGAGAAACTCGGCAACACACGAGCAAATACAATCAAGGACAACTGTCAAAATCACATTAACGAACTAGTGACGCTGACGGCTGAGGAGCAAGTGACACAAAATTACGTCGGCATGGAATGCCAGAACGGTTCAACAAATCCGATAGGCACCAATGATCTGAGCGAAACGTGGGAGAAAGGAAACCTACCTACAAAAGGAACGATATAACCGGGGGCGCTGACTGGACATCCTGCGTGGCCATGAGTCACTGACCTGGTGGACATTTCAAGCGCGTGGCGGCGCTACCGCGTCAGCCCCACCATGGCAGCCAGCACCACCTTGAAGGCACTTCCTTGACCTCACAGAGGAAGCTCGCGAAGTCCTGCAAGCAAAGAAAGCGCTTTCGCACATCCCACGGGCTGCGATCTCACCACCCCCCGACACCGGCCTGCCGCCGCTGCCTCGGCGCAAGGGCAACGCCAATGGGCCGACGGGCCGAGTCCAAGCGAATCGTGGCCCAGACATCTCCGCTTCTTGCACCTCAAAGAGCTCCTGCAAGCGCAAAAGCTTAGGCGGGAGGAAGAAAGCAACTGCCGGGGCTTGGTTTGTTCCCTTCCCTGAAAACAAGAAACTCACAGGGCAACTCTCCAGTAGTGGCCGTGCCTGGTCATCCGCCTGCGTGAGCTGATACGAGCACAAGTCCTGGCAGCACGCGCTCAAACTCTAACTTACAATCCGAACCAAAACCCGCGCAAAGTTGTTGTGGCTTTCGCCATCGTCCGCTGCTTTCGTCCGAATCAGGCAGGATCAGGCCAATCGTGTCAAATTGGGGACAGGGTCCCGTCTTGGCTCGCGCGTAAACCCTCACTGCCCAGAATCCATTTGGCGAAGGCTAGACTTGCCCGGGTCCAGGCTACAGGGCTTACGCAATTTGAGCGTATTCCAAAGCCGCGTGGAGAGTTGAGAGTGGAGAAGTGAGTGGAGTGGAGTCATGGCGCGGGGCAGCGCTCAAAGTCTTTCACTCTCCCACTCTCCCACTCTGTCTTGATAACTTTCGTATTCTCAGAGTGGAAGAGGGAGAGAGTGAGAGAAGGAAAGAAGGAGTGAGCAAGTGAGTTCCATTTGGCCGCCTCAGTCACCAATTTCAGGATCACGGCCATCATGCGATTCACCTGCCGCAGCCGCGCATGATTTTGCTGTTGAAAAGCCATGCTTGCACCTCCTCCTGCGGGGCGTTGAACCGAGGGACCTAAGCGCGTGGGAACGCGCAGGCAAGTGGGCGGAAAAGACGGCAAAGAGCTTGCCGGGTCCCTCGGTCCCCCGCAAAGTCCTTGTTTCCAGCCAGCTCTGTCTGCAACTCCAGGTGGAGCTTGGCCTTGCGAAAAACCTCCTGGCTCCAGACCAGAGAGGCTGACAGGAAACACGGCTGCAACGCAAGCAAAATCTGAACATCTTTGAGGCCCCGTCAGGGTGCGTGGAAGCCGCTCCCATACCTGATGAGCGAGTGACTGAGAACCGCTGAGTGGCGCAGCAAGCCCGGGCCTTCGCTTGAAGGGGATCGGCAGGCAGCGGCGGCTCTCCGTTGTGCTTCCTGAGAACTTGCGCGGTGAGGCGCCTAGGCAGCTGACAGTTTGCTGGGATCAACAGCTGATTTGATTCTGAGCGGCCGACTTGGCCGGAGGCCCAGTCTGCCGATCCTGATTCAGTTGAGAGAGAAGAGAGAGAGGGAGAAAGAATATGCTTCCGTGTGTTGAATGACCCTGCAAGCTAGTCCAGGCTTGGTTACAGTGAGTAGATTCCAAATTTCAACAACGTGAAGTCTTCTCAGCTCACAGCACGGTCAAAGGCGTCGCCCTTTTGTGGCTCTTGGGCAAGAACCTGCAGACAACAAAGCATTTGCGGGGCTGTGGGGCTGAGCCCCGCCAGTCCAAGATTGTTCGCGCAAGTCCTCCTCCCTTGGGAAAATCTGCGGACATTGCGGAGGCGTGTCGGATACTTAGAGGATAGAGGACGCCCTACGTAGGGTTTGGGGGGGGGGTGAGGTCCAAAACCGGGGCGCCTTATCACGCGGGAACAGGTACCCTGTGGTAATGGTCTGCACCTCCTTGGATTTATTCCACACGATGAACACTATGTCAATGATACATGGAGTGTATCTGCAAGTCTCTGGTAGGATTGCCTTGTGGGTATAACCTGCAAAGCGGTCCGCAAGTAACCCCTTTTCTGCGCCTGTACGTGAATGGTATGTACAGTGGCAACAAAAGTAGAAGAGGGGCCTGGAGTCAAACGGTTGCATGGAGATCAACATGCGAATCAAACATAAAACAGACTAACTTCTTTTGATCTCCAGAACTGAGTTACTATTGCAACGCTGGCTTCATCCTTTGACCGTAGCCATTTGAAACTTGTTTGAGCACCGTAGCCTACTCGATATAGATTAGTGACAGATATTGTAGATCATGTCAAAATTGAAGCTCATTCTTCATCCTCTTTTTGTCTCGGATGAATTGCTTGGAAAAGGTTTGTACACACACGGATACCCAGCTGTATCAAAATAGTGCCCGAATCGCTTCTTGCCAAGCGTGGTCCTAGACGTATCAAAACGGTGTGAAACTATTGGCCTCTCACTGGATGGTCTTGGTGATGGTGAGGATCGGAATTCGTAGTGTACGTGTTCGTTGTTCTCTTTCGATTTGTAGACTGTAGATTGACACATTGGCACGCCGTAATACTTCTTGCGGTACCACTGCTGTCAGACGCATAGCCCTTCCATGACTTGTTGTAGCCCTTGTCCTTCCAATATGGCCACGCCGTCTCAGTCTTCTTGCGGTAGTACTCCTTGGACCTCTGGCAGTTCTCAATGCGCGTTTTGATGCAAGTCATCAGCGGGCGGTGTGATTCTGAGTCACACGAGCCATTCATCAACATCTCGTTGTTGATGCGCTTGAATCGTGCTGCTGATGTCACCTTGTAATCGGTAACCATGGACAATGTGTTACTTTTTACATTTTTTGTTGATCCTTACTCAGCGCGTTCAACTCGCTCTTCCTGAACTGCTGCTGCATGTCTGTCTTGCCCCAGCCGAATCTAAAAATAACCACACAGTCTGGAAATTATCGATCATACCCGGAGCCAGTTTTCATGTGGCGCGGTGGATATGTCAAAGGATGGCCTTGGCAGTGCATGAATCCGTTGCGCAGCCCAGTCTGTCCTCCCCATCAGCAATCCGAGGGCGCCATTCGAGGTCATCTTCATCTGGTACTGCTTCATGATGTAGTTCAGAAGGCCATGGTCAGGATGGTATACGAGCTGATGCTTGCTGTAGGTTTTCGACAAACTTAAACTATGTCCGGCGAGCAGCGCGTCGCACATATACTTGGTCACGAGCGGCATGATTCCAGATTCGCAGTCATCACTTTCTGCTCCATATAGCTGACGCATGGATGGATATGACAAACTCCTGTGATGGCGATGGTTGTTCCTTGAGATTGGAAGTTGCTTTGGGAGCTGCACCTCGGATCTCATCATTCTTCTCATAGTGGGCGGTGATGACTTCCTTGTTGTGCCCGAAGCCACAGTGGCGCGCGGTGGCAATCAAATTCCAATGAACTTTGGACTGTTTTTGCAAACATTGTCACTCCCGTTGTGGCCTAGCAATCGGATGTCGGATGGTCGTATTGAGGGTTGTTGTGGTTGGCCTCGGTGCCAAAGAAACTCTGAACATACCAAAGGTGGTGCTCCAGCTGAAAGCGTTATCGGACATGCGCCGCGCCAGGAGCTCGACTCTTGCTCGCTTGTTGCTACGGGCGAAACACGCGAGGGGTCTTGCGTGCTACGAATGGAGGACAATTCCCTTTGGCCGCGCTGAATGAAAAGCTTCATGAGGGCTCTCTCGTCCTTGTCCTCAAAGAATGCGTCTGCTTCATTCAGGCAGATGATCTGTGCGGACTTGCATAAAAGCATCTTGGTGATGGCCTACTTGCAAAAAAGCATCTTGGTGATGGGCCTGTCCTTCATCGGCATGTCTCGCAATTTGCGATCATTGATCTTCGGATTCTTAGCGTTTTGCCATGGGTAAGCACATTGATCTGCGCGGAGGAGGTGAACACATAGGTCTCGTCACGCTTGGCGTGGGGACGCTTGCACGAGATTGCCCAGGATGTTTGCGAATACCTTGACGCCTGAATGTCCTCAGTCCTGCGGGCAAGCGGATTGGAGATCCTGATTTTGTCTGATTCGCCCCGAAGTCTTCCATAGCAGAACTCCTCTTCGTCAATGTTGGTCTGGGGATCGACACGGGCCAAGGATGCCATCTCGCATGTATTCAGGTTCAGGGTTTCTCGCACTTGTCGTGGATCTACCCAATTGCACGATGGATCTTGCACTGTTCTTGGCTTCCTCGAGCTCTTCCTTTGCCTGCTCCCTGGTCAATTCCCTGTAGACACTTTTTTCCTTGAACTCTTCAATGAAGTTGCTCAAGTTCACCTGATTTGCGAACTCCATGGTCACCTTGTGTCGGACTGATCTCTCCTGATCGGATTCCGCGATGCTGCTCGTCATGGTCTTGATCTGTGAACGCCGTCGCTTCTTTGTCTCTGGATCAGTCACATTGACAATGACATGTGCGTGGAATCGCTGCGCAAATTCCTTGATAACTTCCGGTTTGAGGCGCTTTTTCATGAACCACATGTTGTTCTGGATGAGGTTGCCGTCTGCGTTGACAGCTGCAATGATGTTTTGTTGCAGAACGGTCTTCTCTGTCAGCGCAGTGCGTTCCCCGGATATTTTGACGCCGTAGTTGTTCTCCTTTCGTAAATCCCAAAATAGCCATGGCGTTTCGTCCAGCAGGCGCATGTTGCAACGCCTCATCAGGAGATTCATCATCCAGGATGACGTCGACTCCGCGCATGTGGTTGGAGTCCGTGCTCTATAATCTTGTACATCTCGTCCTCGTGAGTTGCATGCAGCACGCATCATGAAGATCATCGAATCTTCCTTTCTTCCTCGACCAATGGAGGTTGCATTCTGGTCTTAGGAGTTGCACCTTTGTCTTTTCGCCTTGGTTGGGGTTGGATTGAGACGGAGATGGAGGATGACGATGGAAGCTCGTACGTCGGCTCGCTCCTTCTCCTGGCGTCAATCTGCCCATGCCGGCCGATCTTGACGTTCCTGGTATGGCCCGCTGTTGCACCAAATGTACAGTTCCATATTTGGGCAATCATAGAATTTGAGTCCATTCGCTCCAAGCGCCGCGGATGCTGCCCGATTGGTAAGATTATCGATCCACCGATGCGGTGGAACGATTTGACCTGATGCAGTGCGGTGACGTTCAATGCTTCGTAGAGTTCGCATGATCCGTTGTCATTCACTTCTGCATTGCGATGTCTCTCCTGCTTTCCTTCAGCTTCGCGTCGAAGAGCTGCGGAAATCCCAAGATACGCCAAGGAACGAGGTGAACAATGGGCTGCGCCTTCTCTGTCTCGATGCGGAAGTACTTGCAAATGGAGATCGCTTTCCGTTTTGGCAGACAATGAGAAAATGTCGGCGTCATCGTCCTTTGGTGCGTTGTTGATGCGGCAGCACATGACATAGGTCTTCTTGATGAAGGTCATGTGTTGTTCGGGCTTGTTGCCGCGAGTGTTCCGGGCGTAATAGAAGTTGGCATCGCACTCAAGGATGGTGCTGCACTCACAGTAGTACTCTTCCACGAATTTTAGGATTTCTGGGTTCCACAACGATTCGGGATGTTCACTCACTCGACGCGACTACCTGCAGCTGCCTCACGCCAAGTCACGGTTGTGTCCGACACATGTAAAAGCTTCATTGTCTTGGCAATAGGGATCGGTCTCACACTCACCTCGCCCAACTAAGGTTTCGGCGCTGCCCTTGCCTTAGTCGTCGGCTTCAATGGCGGAGTGGATGGAGGAGTTGCTGGTGAGGTGGAAATCCGAATGGACTTCTGTGTGATGGATCGGAATGTCCCTAATCCATTTGCTTGCCCCGCGGGGAAGCCACTTGCTTCTTCTTCGTCATGAGCAGGAGAATCCCGCAGGGGGAATGCACGTCTCTGCGCCTTTGCCTTTGGAGCCTGAGCCTCTGACGCGGACGCTCGCCCAAACATGCTTCCGAAGACCGGCATGTCGACTGAATGGTGGTCCATGCACAGGCGGGAAACACCTGTTGTGAACCAAGTTGGCTGCGGATGCAGACACATATTTCTCGCGAGTGTCAAGCAAGGTCAAACACAAAGCAAATGTCGCGGCTTGAGGGTTGAAAAAACCTGTCGAAATGAAAAATTCGTGCGTCAAAATTCCTCTGTCGTGCACAGGTTCCCCAATAAGCAAACATGGATTCTGCTACCCCGACTCCTGCAAAGGCTATGATGTCGGGCCCGTGGTTGTGTTGCGGGCAAGCCACTCAACATTCAGGAGGTTGCCTGTCAGGACGGCCTTGATCAACTCGTCTGCTTTGGCTGAATGTTTGCGCATGTCTGGCGCAGTGGCGCATTGCACGCGCGCGCGCCCACGGTCCCTGTCGTACACCTGAGCACATGCCTCGCACATAGAAAGCGCACACATCCACGCTCTCCGTCACACGCTTGGCTGCACGCCCGAAGTATGTCGACGGCCTGTTGTCTCGGCCCACACAAAACCACCGTAGCTTGAGCGTGTCAGCTCAGTGGCAGTCGTGGCGCCCGGAGATGACCGCAGCCCCCCGAAGCACTTTCAAAGAACACGTATATAGGTGTGCGTGTCTCGCTGAGGCAAGATGCACAGGCTTGTTCTAAAACCGGGAATCTTTCGTGACTGAAATTTTGCTCTTTTTTCTTGATTGCTTTGGTTTCGCCTCAGCGAAACACACATCTTGGTGAATCACAC